GGGGTAAGGAAGCCCGGAGGATTGGTGTGCATGGATTACGGCGTAGACCTCATCTCCTGTACTTCAGGCATGTTATCAGGAAGGACAGTTTCTGGAGGAGGCCCCAGACTAGGTCTGACTCTGCTTCAAATACTGAATGGAGAACAGGAACCCCACTAAGCAGACAGCTACCACATCTGGAATGTTGTACCGCACCTCTCCTCAATGAGGGCCACACAGATGGGGGGATGCTGAGCATTTGGGAGAAGGTCGGGTGTTTAGACCCTCTAGTGTCCCAGTCCCTGGCTTCTCACCCTGGGTCTTTCTCCCAAGTGTTCCTACTGGCATTGTCTGCTTTTGATAACGTGCCCTCCACCCCCACCAGTCGGACTGTGGATTCCTGGTGGACAGAGACTGCTTCTTATAGCCCTGATTTCCCAAGCCAGCCCTGGGCTTGGAGCTCAGTGAGTGGGGGGAGGGGGAGGGACAGGTGGGGAGGGCAGGACTGGATGGACAGAGGTGGGACTGAAGAGAAAGAGGGTGGGTGGAGAAAGAGACAGAGGGGTTTTCTAAGTCACAGATACTGAAACTCTGGAGGTTCAGTTTGGGACTGGGTGGATTCTGAGATGCCGCCTGGTTCCATTTCGCTGCCTACACAACTATACAGGGATCACCTATGTGGACCATCCCTCTGATTGGGGGTGGGGTCCTGACTGGGTGGGGCCAGCAGGGCTTTCAGGGTGGGGGCCCTCGTCACAGTCACCCTGGGCATGTACACACAGAGACACAGACATGCCAAGGACCACAAAAGAGCAAGGCTTCGATGAGGACTTGGTGGCATAGCATTTGTCACAAATGCCACCAAGGTACCCCACCCCCAGCCAGACAAGTTTCCACACGCCCACCCCCAGCCCCTGGGAACTCCAAAGAGAAGACCGGGCCATTCTGCATCCCACCTGCCCCAGTCCAGGATCACAATCTGGGTGGTGCTGAGCCCATTCTCCAGGCCCAGGGAAGGCACCCCTGGAGCCAGGAAAGTAGCCAGGTCCCGGGCAGTTACAGTGTATCCATGCATTTCCTGCCCGCTTTAATCATGGAGGAAGGAGGGGGGGAGGGGGCCATTTGCACCTGCATTCTCTGTTTTGCGTTTTGTTTTATGTGTGTGAGAGAGAAAGCAAGTGTGTGTGCATTGGAACTCACGTATGTCTTTAGGGGGGAAATGGGAGGTGGCTCTTGGCAGAGCCTAGGGGGCCACCCAGAAGACTTCATCTGGGAGAATCAGGTCCGACGGTTGGAGCCCCACATTTTTCTGGCCACTACAGGCTGCCCAAGGGCTTCAGCACCCCCCATCCCCACCCTCATCCCACTCTAGCACCCGTCACCCTCCCCAGAGGGCTGGAGGGAGCCCAAAGAGTGGTCCTTCCTTACCATGTGCCTTGGCCTTATCCAGGGCCGGGGTCATCAGGAAGTTCACAATGTCCCCCGGTGCCACCTCCTCTGTCCGTACTAGGAGCATCGCACCTCCTGCCGCCTTCCTGGCCACCAGGGCGCCACTGGCCGCCAAGCTGGCCAACTGGTAGGGGCCCTTCCCTAGTGCTGAAGAGAAGGGGTCCCGCCATAACCCCTGCCACCCTCGATCTCTGCCCACCTCTCACCCCTGCCCTTATCCCAGCCCTGAGGGGCATCATTTCTACCAAAGGGGAGGAATGGGAGGCCGGACTTCCGGCTCTGGCAGGAACGGACCCTCGGCACAGTGTCTGGGTCATTTCTCAGGGAGCCTTCAGGGCAGGCCATCGGTGGGGAGTATCTAGGTCCCATATGCCTCTCTAGGGCCCCACCCCACTGCCTGACGGGTGACCGTTACAGCGCTCCCTCTATTCGGCATTACCTCTGGAGAAGACATGGGATGTGGCCTCTCCCCGGGGGGAAGAAGCCTGGGAAGACTTGGGCCCAATGTGTGTGCTGATCTATTGATTTCAGACGTGTGTGACGTTTCTGTCTCTGGGGTTCTTCGAGCTGTTGTACTGGGGTGTGGGCTTGTTGGACACTGGCCTTCTAACTGCCCACTGGTTTCAGGTGTGGCACCTGCTCTAATGCCTCCTTCCCTTCCCTCACCCTGCTCCCTGCCCGTAACTGTCCAGAGGTTCGCCCTGGCCCTCAGCACAGACTCTAAGGGCTCACAGTGAATTCTGTTGTCTTTTGCCCCCCAGCCACTTGGGACCCTCCCCTTGCTCTTGCTCTCATGCATCATTGAAAACGCCGAGCGATTTCACCCCTGGAGCCTTCCCTCCTCCGCTTCTACCCCCTCTGCGGGTCCTTCCCTGTTTTGTGCCTGGCAAACACCTACTCAATCCTAGGGCCCCAAATGTTCCCAAGAAGTCTTCCCTGCACACAGACTCCATCCCTCCTCCCCTGGGCTTCCCAGCCCTGGAAGCAGGGTTCCTAGGATGTGGATCAGGTTCATGGCCACATCTGTTCTCCCACTACAGGAGACAGGTAGCAGTGTGCCGGTCGATTCTTAACAACCAGGTGTTTAAAAAAAGAAAAAAAAAAAAGGGAGAGGGATGAAGCTAAGAAAAAAGACTCCATCCCTAGCCACTGCTGATGCACATGGTGTAAATACTCCCAGGATGGCCAATTCCAAGCCACCCACAGAATGTGGAACCAAACGCACATCATGGGCTCTGGAGATGCAGTGAAAGCCAGCTCGCCGCCACCGCTCTGGGTCTCATTGACCATCTCCCAGCACCCAGCCAGGCCTGGGCCAGAGAAACGCTGGTGCAAGAACCGAGCAAGGACTGCGTGGGAGGGTGGGTAGGTGGAAGATGCTGGAAACAGCTTGTCCTTTGCCAGTTGCTGCCACTCGAAATACCACAGAAGGCAGAAAACGGCTCTGAGCTGTTTTGCTGAAATGTCTTGGGGTCCTGCTACTGCCTGGCGTCCAATAGACCCATCTGTCTCAGAGATTGCCATTCTACCCTTACGGATTTGTTCCTTTAGGCGTTAAAGCTTTGGGGCCGTCAGGGGTCTCCTGGGGGGCTAACATTTGAACCGTGCTGCAGCCATTGTGAACTATGGCCTGGACAATGCAGAACCTTGACCTGGTAACCTTGCTCCTAGTCTGATCCTCTCCATCCCACCCCCCTTCCTCTTGTCCAGGTGTGCTCCTGTCCAAAATCTGACAATGCGGCAAATAGAACAATGCCTTAGACCTGCCCCAACCCAGGCCTGCTCTTGGAAGGCAGGGCTTGGAGGAGATGGGGCTCTGAAGTCCATGGGGAGCAGCACCAGGAATCTGATGAGAATCTAACCCTGCCAAGGTCTCACCGAGGTCCCAGTGAAGAGGGTAGAAAATTACTTGTGGACAGTCCTGCCCTGCCTCTGCCAGAGATTAAATGGCTCCACTGCTGGACATTAGCCTCCGGTGGGACCTTTGGTCCTGGCTGCATTTCCACCCCAGTTATATAGAAGCTGGAGGCCATCCTGTGCCCTGAGACTCTGGCCAAATTTGAAAATGAATCTGTAGGTTGAGCCAGGCCATAGGCCGTACACCAGCCATTTGTTTACATCAACTTCGGCCAACTCAAACCTTCAGGAAGCCCAAGGTTGCATTTCCTAGGACTGAGAGGCTGGAATCTGAAGGGCTGGGGGCTGGCACGCTGATGCAAATGGGATTGGACGCCTGGGTGGAGCTACTGTGGGTGGCCACCGTCCTTAGGGAGCAGGACCCTGCCTGGCCTGGGCTGAGCCCCGAGCAGGGGCTGCAGGATCCGCAGGGACAGAGTGGCAAGGGCATCTCTTTGGATGATGGAGGGCCCAGGTGTTAGTGGTCCCTCTCTAGCCCTTGCCATGGCTCTCCCAAGGCCCACAAAGCCTCAGCATGGCTGAAGTGGCAACAGGGCAGGGCTGGCAGGCCCCACGTGGGGAGCACGGACTTACCTTTGTTGAAGAAGTCACAGTCATATGCTGAAAGAAAAAGAACAGAGACTTGGTAAGAAATCCACCTAAGGCCTAAAGCAGATGGGCAAAGTCAAGGCCCCCTCATTTGGCCTCCTAAGCTCCTGGCTCAGACTATACCCACTGCCGCTGATTCCGGCTCACTGTGACCCTGAAGGGCAGAGCAGAGCTGTTCCTTAGAATTGCAGAGACTGTAAATCCTTAGGGAAGGCCAGAAAGCCTTCTATTTCTACTGCGGATCGGTTGGTGGCTTTGGAACGCCAACCTTTGGATAAGTAGCCCAATGCTTAACCCCCTAAGCCAGCAGAGCGCCTTAGGAGGAAGACATCCCGTGGCTCCTTCTGTGAGCCCAGCACACAGCTCAGGCCTGGCCCAGATTAGGCACCAGCATGGGTCTGTGAGAAGAACAAGGGAAGGAAGGAAGGATGGACAGGACAGGAAGCTGTGGCGTTTTGTGTGGTCCTGAAGAGCAGGGAATGGCAGCTGCCATCAGAAGGGCTGCTGAATGTGCTGAGCGTAAGACGGAAACCTCCAGTGAGAAGGGGACCAGGGGACTCCTGGCTACAAGCCTTCTTCTCCCAGGCCCAGACGTTTCCCTTGCCCTACCCAGCACCAGGCTTGGACCAGCACCTTAGAAGCGTGAGCACCGCTCGCCCTCTAGTGGCCTATCCCAGTACCGCAACCTATTCGGCCAGTGCCCTCAGCCTTGATGCCTTGAGGGAAACTACGGTTTGCAGCGGCTAACTTCTCTGAAGTGGGCAGTCTACCCGTCCTCCTCAGTCTTTTCTTAGTCTGGAAGCTCAGCTGAAATCTGTTCATGTTGGGGGACCCTGCTGGTGTTTGAAATGCCTGTAAGATTGCTTCCAGCAACCTACATGACAAACTGACAGACAGGTGGAGGCCTGGCCCAAGCTATGGTATTTTCCATGTTCTCGCGTGCATGTGAAAGTAGAGCATTGACTAAGGAAGACCGAAGAAGAATCATGGCTTTCTATGGTGCTGGCAGAGAACGTGGACTATTCGAAGGACAAACGGGCGTGTCCTGGAAGAAGTACGGCCAGAGGCCTCCGTAGGGGCAAGGATGATGAGACTGGGTGGAGTTTGCGTCTGAACCCAGGTAGCCTGACCTTAACGCTCGTGTAATAACCAGCACCCCCCACCCCCAAAGCGCATGCTCACACAAGGGAAACCCATCCGTGTGCAGGAATAAATAACTAAGCAATTAACTGGTAGTTGAACCCTGTATATTTAAAATTTTATCTTTTCAATAATTATTGAATCTGTTTTATGATACACATTACACTTATGTATGTGGATATGTATTTTTACATAGTGTGGTAGTTACATAATCTGGTGTCAATTTGAGGATTAAGAGTGTAGGGGTGGAGGCTAGCCTGTCAATCAGGATATAGCCAACGAGGCCTCTGTATGGGCATGGCCTTCTCCTGAGGGTTCTGGGAACTCTGGTATTCTTGGAGACGGGAGACACCTTCTCTCTCTGCTCACTCTCTGGGAAACATTGTAGCTGATAAGACACATGGAATTACACTAGAAGCCTGAGCTGGAGAAGCCACATGGAGACCCCTCCCAGCCCTGAGATACTTATAATACCACTGGATCCACAAGCCTTCCCGCCCACTGGCCTGTGATCTTCCTGCATTCGGCATCATTACATGTGTTTTGTGAGTCTGAAGAGGGCTTTATAGATTGGTATTGAACATATGGCTAATATTGGACTTATGGACTTGATCTGGACTGAGCTGGGATGTTTTCTCAATATTCAACTGATCTTCTATATAAAGTTCTTTCTTATACACATGTGAGTTTCAATGGATTTGTTTCTCTAGTCTACCCGGACTTAACACATAGGCATACATCTGCGTGTAGTTACGGACGTGCTCCAGATATTTGGACTGGATTTGAGTGTGCCGTTACAAAGCCTGGCGACCACTCCTGCCTTTGGATAAACTGCCAGCTCTGGCCATCTCTGCTGGGGCGTGCGGGACCCCATTGACAGAGGGCTTTTACCTGCGTTGTCCTGTTGGAGTCTCATTACATATCCGGTGGGCAAATCGGTTTTGTGTTTTTAGGTAAGAACATTGAGCACCACAGAGGTTAAGTGACTTAATTGGGCCTACACAGCTTGTAAATGGCAGTGCAGGGTCTGGAACCCAGGATTCCCAATTCCTCCGGCCAAGCGGTGAAACCGGGCTATTAGAGGAGGGATCTTGGCACCAGCACTAACCTGCACAATCTTGGGCATGTTCTCTATTCTCTCTCTCCAGGGCTCAGTTTCCGCAACAATTGAGGAAGGAATGAATGGTCCCTTCTTCAGAGAGCTGCATAGACTTGATGGCATGGATTTTGCATGTGGGGCTACATACAGAGTTGAAGGAGCCATCAGGCGGCTGGTGCCCGGCGCACAGTGGGTGTTTAGCAAACCCGAGCCAGCGTGTGGTCGCCCCACTACGGTCCCTAGCTTAGCTGACTGGGGCACTCACGGCAGAGGCGGGGGGTCCGCCAGTCAATGGCCACCCCGTGCTGGCAGCACTGATGGGCGTAGGCCGACACACTGGCGCAGAAGCACTCGCAGTCGCCGCCCCGGCTGCACCCACACGTGTCCGTCAGGCAGTTGGAGTAAAACCAGGTGACATCAACCTGAAGGCAGTCAAAACTCAGAAGTCAGAGGCCGGATCCTGAGTGTGAGGCCCACAGCACCTGGGCTCACAGAGAGCAGCCTCGACAGGAAGGGAACACGGGCAGGGTGAGGGGAGGAAGGCAGCCAGCGTGTAAGGAAACAAGAACCCAGGGGCGGAGAGCCACCCAGCGCTGAGAGCTGGACGCTCTGCTCCCTGAGCCCAGGCCATTCATCCCAGGGGCTAAAGACAGAGCTGCAGAACAGGCCTGAGTTGTCAAACCAGGCCCAGAGACAGCCAAGGCCAGCCTCCAAGGCTGGAGCGTGCCATGCAGAAAGGCACCTTGCCTGCCCCCAGGGAAGGCAGAAGAGGCAGCATAGCCGCCACTGCTGAGGGGCTTGGGCTGGCTTCCTGGCAAGAGACCAGCTTGAGATGGGCTTGAACGAGGCACCACAGATCTCGCCGTCCGTCCCTGGCCATCTAAGGAAGTGGAAAAGCTTCACCTGCCTCGACGACGGAAGCAGGGGAATGGAATGGGTGGGACACCCGACATCCCTGCGGCGTCTCCTCCTGGGCCTGGGGGAGTCTGCCTGGGGACAGGGCTGAAGGGAGGCAAGTGGGAGAGGGACTAGGCAGGCCAGGCTGGGGCTGACTCACCACGGGATGGCAGGTCTCAAAGACTTCGCTGAGCAGGACGCCGCACTCCTTCTTGGCAAACGGTTCCCGGAGGGGATTCAGGACACAGGTGTCCCGGGGGTCCAGTGCATCGGGGCACTGAGGAGGCAAAAGCAGGGCTGCTGCCTGGGGTGGTGGACAGATGAGTGGGCCCCCAGAATCCCCACCTTGTGATGTTCACCCCCCGTAGAATTCATTCCCTCTCCTTGAGTGTCAACGGCACCTGTGACCTGCTTCTGACCAATAGAAGGTGACAAAGGTGTTGGGGCGGGCATGACTGTGCTCAGATCAGGGTGCTACAGAGGGGTGCAGCGCTCAGCCCATCCTGCTAGAAGCTCTTCCTCGCTGGCTGTGAGGACGGCCAGGAGCCATGGTGGTCTCTGGGAACTGAAGGTGGCCTCTGACCAGCAGCTCACAAAATGACCTGCAGGTCCCAGCCCCACTGCTGCCAGGAACTGACTGCTGCCAACAGCCACACAAGTGAGGAAGTGGCTCCTTCCTCGGTCGAGCCTACAGATAAGAATACAGCCCTGGACGGTAGCTTGCTTGCAACTCCATGAGACCCCAAGGAAGAGATCCAGTAAAGCTATGCCCCGACTCCTGACCCACAGAAAGGGCGAGGCAATATGAGTATATGTGTGCTGTCTTAAACTGCTAGGCACTCTTGCTACCCAACAATACAAAACTAAGACGGATTTCCTCGTGCTGCTCAGAGCTAACTCTATTCCAGGAGGTCCTCCTCTTCCCTGCAGCCCTCCTGAGTATGTCCAGGGAGAGAGGGAGGGAGAAGAAATGGGTGTGGACCTCACAAAGGCTCATCACCCAATCCGTTTCTGTTAACGGGAGGGGCTGAGGGTGGGCACGCTCCCCTGAGGCTGTGGGGGCAGTGCTGTCCCACCTCAGTATTACACTGAGCTCCCAGGCCATAGCCACCTGCTTCTCACCCCCCAGTCTACCCAGGACCACCTCTGTCTACTCCCCACCAGGGAATCGGAAACAGCAGAGACCTTAGTTTGCCTAGTCAGGGAAGCTGGCCACGCTCCAACAGAAATCCAACATCACTTGCGGAGGAGACTTGACGGATTAGAGTTGTCACATGAGGTGAGCTTAGCAACCCTCTCCGGGCACAACCCCCTCATTTCACAGAAACCACAGCGAAGGTGGAACTTCCTCAAGGAAGTGTGGAGGATCACACAGGGTGCTGGGTCCCCTCCATAGCACAGACAGATCCTGAGTCTCAGGGGCGCTCCCCTCCTTCCTGCCTCTGCCTCTCCCCTCCTTCCACTCAGAGACCTTTTCTCAGATACATTCTCCTGGACAAACAGGGCCTACACCCCAAGTATCAGCACTACCCCCACCTTCTTCAGGAAACCGCCTCTGATCACCCTCACCCATATCAGTACCTTTTGGGCCACTCCTCTGTGCTAGGACTAACCCCACTGAGGGTCACAGAGATGGGTAAGATGGTCATACTTCAATAAGCCCCCCTTTCCAATTTCCCTGGGACACAGACTGTCGTGTCCCCACTTGCTACCATCCATCAAGGCTTGATCCAGGGCAGGGAGTGAGACAGAGGATAGATCTCAGGACTGAGCCTAGGGCCGGGAGGCCAGGTTGGAGGCTAAGAGGACACAGACGCCCTGTGCAGGCAAGTCCCTTCTGGGTGTGGGGCATGAGTCCGTTTGGGGTGCTTTACCTCCACTGCAGCCCAGCTGCTGCCAAACTCCTGGGGGTTAGTTAACTCCAAGTTCTCTGGGGTCCTCATCTCATTGATGGTTTTCAGGTCAAAGTTTCCACAGAGTCCCGTCAGCTGTCCCTGAGAGGTCCAAAGAGGCCGCCGTTAGTCCCAGGAACCGCGGTGGTCATTCATGGGATGCGGGGAGTCACCGCAAACCTACAAGTCGGCGATGGACCCTGAGCAGCAGAGCGGGGGCGGGGTGGGGGAAGGTCCTAGAGAGGGTGGCACAGAGGGTGACAAGGAGATGAGGTGGTGCTGCTGGCGCCTCTGCAAAGGTGCAGCTCGCTCAAAGACACCTGCTCACTGGGCTGGGTCCTGGTAGGGAGCAGAGAGTCCTTTAATAGTCATCGGTCATGTGCTTGCCTGCCACTGAGGTCCAGCCTGTACGTGTACTGTGGTCCTCTGGTCCCACACGAGGGTGATGTGCTCCCGTGGGAAGTGCACCAGTGTGAAAAATCCCGCTCGCCACGTGTGAACCTCCTGCTTCCCGTCCAGGAAGCTCTCAGGACTCTAGGAAGACAGACCGTCACTCACGAGGCCCGTGCGGCCAGGTCAGTTGGGCCCCCGGTGGCATGTCCCTATCTAGCCCCAGGGCTTTACCAACTCTACTTCCCCTTGACCATGACCTCTGTGGGTGCCTGACCCCAGCCAAGAACACCCATCTGGGTTCCTGACTCAGTGGTACCCCAAGAGAAGAAACCCAGACCCCGGCCCTCTTCTGCCCCCAGACCGCCTACACCCGCACGAGGCCTTACGGGGTCTCCTGAGTCGTCGTCAAAGATGATGAGGGAGTTCCCAACGTGGACAGAAATAAACTTCCTGCAGATGATGCCTGAGCCGTAGCAGTTGACGTTTTCCACGATCACAGAGAAGCGGAAGTCGGCTGTGCTCTGAGGAGGAAAGAAGTTCGTTTGCTGAAGCCAGGGGCGAGGCACCGAGGCTCCGCTCTGCGGTGGCTTGGGATCAACTCCTTGGGAAAAGTGTCACCTTGGGGAATTCACTGCAGCCTCTGGAGCGCAGCTTCCTCAAGTGACGGGTGTGGAGCGGCTCTCAAAAACACATGCGAGCAGTGAGCATTAACCAAGGTGGAATGGGAAGGACGGGTGGGAAGGGGCAGGGCCCTGCTTTATATACTCTGTTGGGGACAGAAGAGGTCTGGGAGAGGGGGGCGGGGCGGGGAGGAGTTGCCAGCCCTGAATAACGTTTGAAAGGTACCTAACTTAGGTACAGCAATTCTACATCTAGGAAGCTAGAAAGATGTCCACAAAATGATTGGCCACAGCATTGGGCAGTTTAAAGATTGGAAACAACCTCAGTGCTCATCAAAGGGGAAATGGTCATGCAAACTAGAGCACAGCTTTGCTGTCGCGGATAATGCGCTGCTGATCACAAGGGAACGTGCATCAAGGCATACGGATCCGGGAGGACGTCCAGGACACGAGAGACGGGAAAGTTGCAGGAGACTCTTTATGTAAGCTACACAAAGCGTTTATGTGTGCAGGTGGGGCAGGGGGGCGCACACAGGCACACACGCATGTGTGCAATGGAAAATGGTTTTGCTGGACTCCCAACAGACCATTTAGACTGATGGTCTCGCAGGGGAAGAGGAACACTTGCTTTCAGTATAGATTTCAAGACTGCCTTAAACAGTAGTGCAAACTGTGAATTGCCTTTGAAATGAAAATAAAATGGGTTCAACAATCTTGCTCTCATAGCGTCCCCAAAATCATGTAAGACCCCAGCAGAGAGCCTGCCTCCTAGCTGGGCCTCCCTCTATGGGAGTTTTTTAATCATTCTTATTGGTGGCGCTGCTCTTGCTACTTCAGCAGGAGACGGACAGCCCCGTAGCAGAACCGCTGCCCCTCTGGATGCGTCTCTGGGACTGCCACCTCACTCACCCGCCGGGCCCTCACTCTCCTTCTGGAGGACTCTGCCTTAGCCAGACCGCCCTCACATTGCCATCCCTCTTCTTCCAGGCGAGTTGTTGCCATCCCTTAAACCCACCAACCCTTGAGTCAGAGTCCCTGGTTCAAACCTGACCACCACTCACAGGCACCAAGGAGCTTCAAAAAGTGTGTGCGGAAATGGCATGAAAAGATAATGGGACTTTTCCCGAGACCTTTTGAAGCACCCTCTTACTAGCGATGTGACCCAAGTCGAGATACATAATAGGGAGTCGATGAGTCTGACCTTGTAAGTTGTTGAAAATTTAGTGAAATAATCTCTGAAAACAATGGCTAAGCAGGCCGCCAGGCACATAATAAAAGCTCCATGAGCAATAAGCCAAAAGGAAACCTGTGCCTTCAAGCCGAGGCCAGCCCATGGCAATGCTACAGGGTGGGGCAGAATGGGCCGCAGGGTTCTCAGGTTGTAACCAGGATGGAAGCACAGTGCTGCATCTTCCTCCCTCGGAGCAGTGGGTGGACTTGTACCACCAACCTTCGGTTGGCAGCGAAGCGATTAACCACTGTGGCCCCGGAGCTCCATAAAAAGTATTTGCTCAAGGGCTCAGGGGGAAAGCAAATGTTTTGAGAATGATGATGGCAACAAATGTACAAACAGGCTTGACACAATGAATGATTGTATGGATTGTGATAAGAGCTATATATGAGCCACCAATAAAATGATTTTTTTTTCCTTTTTAAAATCATTTTATTGGGGGCTTGTACCACGCTTATCACAATCCATACATACATCCATTGTGTCAAGCACATTTGTGCATTTGTTGCCCTCATCATTCTCAAAACATTTTCTTTCTACTTGAGCCCTTGGTATCAGCTCCTCATTTTGTCCCCTCTCTCTGCCCTCCCTCCCTCACGAATCCTTGATAATTTATAAATTATTATTATTTCGCCATGTTTTACATGGTCTGACATCTCCCTTTACCCGCTTTTCTGTTGTCCGTCCCCCATAAAATGATTTTTTTAATAAAAGGTATTCACTGAAAATCCATGATCAGCGGAGCAAAATGTACTGGCATCTGAGCACCCAGTTTGCAGAAGGCTATGGATGACAGTGAAAGCCCAAAATCCATTTGCAGAGAGCCCGTGAAGAACAGGCCTCCGTTGAATACCCTCAGACTATTGATCAGGGATGAGAAGAGCCCGGCCCTCACACAGAGTACATCAGAAAGTTAATTTGGCAGACAGTTAATTTGGTCAAAATGTAACATCTTATCATTTGCTTTCTCTTTTAACCCATTCTTAATTTGTTCTATTTTTTATTATCTTCTGCTTTCTTTTGCATTGAAAAAAAAAAGCAACCAATTGAACAGGTTGTATAGACATTGTTCCATGAGACCCTAATGTGCTATGTAAACTTTCACTGGAAGCACAATAAAAATTTCATTTAAAAGAAAGAGAGAAAAAAAACATTAGTTCTTAATGTTGTAGACAGAAAGCCCTCGGGTTCCTAAGGGGTGGACAGGCAGTGGGTAGACTGTCAGCCCCGAGCCTGCTTCTTAGCACTTATTTCAGTCTCCAGACAGCTGCACACCAGGACTTGGCTCTTCCCAGTTGAGCACCAGGCTGGAGGCCATAGCACCGACATGGTCTGATAGGGCCTCAGCCATGGCTGTTCCAAGCCCCCATGGCAGAGTGTGGGGGCAGCTGGGCAGGCACATGCAGGACTCACCTTGACCAGGTGCACTTTGCATGCCCCCACGAAGTCAAAGGGGAGCCCGTCAAAGGTGCGGTAATGGCGGTCCCCGTAGGCCGTGCAGGTGGAGGCGCAGGGGTGGAGCGTGCACTGGAAGGAACCCTGTCGGCACTCGCTGAAACACAGGCAAGACCCGCTCTTAGCACTTGCCCACACCGCAGCCTGCTGCCGGCCCCCAGGAGTGCTGGACCAGGGGCCATCAAGTACCACCCCCACCCCCGCGGCAGAAGCCCAGGGAGCTGGATGGAGGGCTCCCATGTCCTGTAGAGGAAGGGGGGCCCAGAGACCTTAAGGGATATGCCCACCTGCCTGCCGTGGAGCAGTTGGAATCTGGGACATGGTGGCAAGTTTTTCCCTGAGAGAACTTGGAGGAGGTTTGTACATGTACCAGGAAGGTGGAATTTTTAAAAACAGAGTTAAAAAGTCACACCTTGTCTACATGTTTCCAGTCCCCTCAGGGAGAGAGGGCACCCACCCGTGGCAAGTCGACCCCTCCCAAGAGGACACAAGTCTCCTTACCAGAGTTCCAGACCTTAAAGCCATACCCCGCCCTTGGCCTTGCCTCCAGACTCTTCCCACCACCTTCTGCCTCGGGGGTGATTTCTGAGTGAGAGGTGCTCCCCAGGAAGGGGTCTGACATAGCATTGCCACCCCCTGCCGGAGGGTTGGGGTGCTGGTGCAGTGTGGGTGGGGGGAGACACAGAGTGTCTGGAGTCAGCACGTAAGCCTGAGCACCCTCTGCCCGTCCAGGCCGGCCAGCCCCAGGCTCTCGTCACATGCATGTGGCACCCATGTCAGCCCTGGCATGCCACAGTCACCAAGCCCCACACGCCTATGAGCACACAGCCCACACAGAGCTCCATGTCTGACCTTCTACCCGGGACTTCTGGGGTCGAGCGGTCAGGCCTCTGGCCTGTAACTACGCCCTGATGCAGCGGGGGAAGGCAGGCTGGAGCCGATGGACCAGACCCTGACCCTGCAGTTCCCAAGGGCAGAAAAACACAGACAGTGTCTGCCCCACACGAGACACAGCGAGGGCCCATATTCGGATAACTGGATGGGCCTCCAAGATCGATCTGTGCCCCCACACACGTGTTCACAGAGATACGCAAACACGGTGGCATGTTTATAAGCATGTAAACAAATTCACCCCCACGTGTATACAAAAGAAAGACCCCAAATATTCCTTTGTGCGCACGGTTGCATGCATTCAGATCTCTATACAACTCACACCGCATCGTGACCATGGTGAGAGGGGGCATGCTGGGCCGTATCCAGGAGCCCTCTCCCTATAGGCGGCCCTCGGCAAAGAGCCAAACCCAAGCAGGGGCCCCACGTACCAGGCATGGCAGGGCGACGTGACCCGGTCCCCAGGGAAATACTCCTTCCCCTTCCAGGTGCACGGACACTCCTCGGGCAGGAAGCAGGCATCGCCGTGTCGGAGCAGACTGCAAGGACCCAGAAGCAGATGGTAAGGAGCACAGCTCACTGGGCCTGCCATCTGCAGAGGACCCCACAGCCATTTGGTTGTCCCGGGTGGGGGGGCTCTCAGCATTTACCTTAGAAGAGACTTTTGGTCATGTGCCCACAAGCCATTCTACTGCTGCTCAGTGAGGTTCAAACTAACCTCTGTCACTGGCCAAACCAGGGAGGGGCAGCCCTGCCCTGGCCCAGAAGTCTGCCACCCACGAGGACGCAGCATGCAGCTCAGGAGGGGACATGGTGTGCACCAATAAGCAGACCCTGGGCACAGGCGCTGACGGCCCCGTACAGCCCTCAGACACAGGCCCCCAGCTGCAGCCCACTGCCCTAAGATGGGAGTGTCTCGGAACGAGTTTCCCCAGAGGTACTCTGCACTGGTCTCCTGTGGGATGGGGGTGGGAGGAGACCCAGGGGTTCCACTGCTTGAAGACGCCACAGTGAATCCAAATCTTGGCCATTTAAACCCCGCAGGGGCTTCGTGGCCACCTGCTTCTCTAAGAATGACCGCCTCGGAAATCCTGTGGGGCAGTTCTACTCGGCTGTACAGGGTCGCGCTGAGTCGGAATTGACTGGATGGCGATGTGCTTGGGTTTTGTTTTTTTAAAGACGCATATTTAAGGAACCCTGTTGTGGCAGCGGAGCCCTGGTGGCACAGTGGTTATGTGTTAGGCTGCTAACCGCAAGGTCAGTGGTTCAAAACCACCAGCCACTCTGTTGGAGAAACGTTCTACTCCCCTAGAGTTACAGTCTCAGAAACCCACAGGGGCAGTTCTATACCAGACTGTGGGGTAGTGGTTATGCATTGGGCTGCGATTCACATGGTCGGCAGTTCAAAACCAGCAGCAGTTCCAAGGGAGAAAGGCTGGGCTTTCTACTCTCGTACACAGTTAGTCTCGGACACCCACAGGGAGTGCCCATGAGTCAGAATTGGCTAAATGGCAGTGAGGTGCTTTTTTGTTTGGTTGTGTTGGTGTTGCAGTGGGTTAAGTATTAAACTCAAACCCAAAGAGGAGCAGTTTGAACCCACCAGCCACTCCGCGGAGGAAAATGCCGCCTGCTTCTGGAAAGGTGACAGCCTTAGAACCTCTGAGCAGCTGTGAGCCCGTGTCTAGATTGTTGTTTGGGGCACAGACTTGCCATTCATACCGTGTGCCTTTCCCTCCCCGCCCCTCCAGGGGCAGCCAGGCTCTGCTCCACCTTGCCTTCCTCTCGGCAAGTCCCACTCTGCAATGTCCGTTTCTGCACGACCACAGCCACCCCCTAGGACCCCTGTTCTCTTTGCCTCTGTGGGCTTATACCTATTTTACTATCTTACCAGCATTTCCTAACGGGTGTAGGAGGAAGCAGAGAAAAAGCAGGTGTTTAATCCACAATGTTTTACTTAAAGCGGCTTAGCCTTTGTCTAAGCCTTCTGGGGGGAGCCTGGTTCTGCCGGCCCTCGGCCTGGGAGACCAAGGCGACTGGGGTACATACCCCTGGGGGCAGGCACATCCCGAGAGGCAGGGCCCGCGGGCCGACATGCTCAGGTTCAGCAGCTGCTGCTCACAGGTTCGCTCCCTGCTCAGCTCCGGCTCCGTGTGCAGCTCACTGCAGTTCACGAACACCTGGCCTGCTGGGCAGGCAGTAGCTGGGAGAGAGCGGGCAGGCACGATGGACAGCATGGGCACCCAGCAGAATGCACGGAGACCAGGGGTGCCCAGCATCTGGGACTCAGAGAGACAGCTGCCTCCTGAGGTCCTGACTAGCACGGGGGCAGTTCCTGGGTTCCCAAGTACACACCACAGAGAGAGGTGGATGTGTACTGTCTCACAACATGACAACCACCAGACTGCCACCCTGGACGGCCTGCCCTTCACTGCCTGCTGAGAGGTTATTCTGAAATCCCATCTATGTCAACCTCCTTCCCGGGCCTCCTCGCCCTGTGCCAACCCCACGACTCTACCCTGCCGCCACATCCGGCTCAGACTGACCTACCCCAGTTCCCTCCCTAGCCTCGTCTTTGTTGCTTGGGCCTCTTAAAGGCCCAAACTGACCCCTCACTGCCATCTTTGTGCCCATCTCCTGCCCAGCACGGGGTGGGCAGAGAGGGAGCCTCACCAGATCGTCAATGGCCCAGACCAAAGAAACCCAGGGCCCAAGGCAGTTGTAGGAGCTGCCAGACAGCCCAGCTGACTGCTCCCAGGAACCAGGAGGGACAGTCATTGGAGGGGGCTGACACTGGAACAGGGTTTGAGAAGGGCACCTTCCAAGCCAGAACCTCTCCCAGGAGGTCACTCAATCCAGAAGGCCGGGGCTGGGCAAGGCCTGGGCCGGGCTCTCCCTTCCTGGTCTGTGCTCGAGCGCTTCCCCACCACCCAGGCCACCCTGCCCTTCCCGGCACCTTTACCTGGGGCTCTGCTATCACAGCTCATGACGCCCGCTTTGCAGTGGCTGCAGGGAGAGAAGCATCCGGTTAGCCCAGCCTGGTCACTGAAGAGCCCAGACACCGAATCCCCATCACTGCAGGCCCTGGGGCCCCGAGTCTCTGCTCTGGCCTCTGTGGGGTTCACACAGACAGCCCCGCTCACTGTCGCAGGCCCCCTAAGCAGAGCGGAGGGCGGTATCGCTCCGTGGACAGATGCGTTCAGCTGCGTGCGTGTCTGTGGGCAACTTCTGGGCTGCTTGGCACCCAGGGAGCTCACCAGTGGCCCAGAGATGGGATGTCACTGTCTCCGGGCGGGTAGTCCACTCCTTGGAAGTGGCAGGAGCACTGGTTCCTGTGGAACAGGGAGCAGCGATAAGGAGCATGCTCAGAGCCTGGGGCACAGCCTGCCAGGGGCTTCCGAACAGCAGAGAAGGGATGGCACCTACTGTGACTTGTGACACAACACCAGGGAACAGGGACCCTGGCCACTAGAAACAGTCAGGGCTGGTTCCTTGATCCTGGAAGCATGCCCGCCCCAGCCCCCCAGTCTGTGCTGGAGTCCCGAGGACACCTCTCCCTGAGGTTGCCCTCCCCTTGGGAGGGGCTTTTCTCTGTTACAGTCATGAAGCTGTATCAGGATGCCACGCCCACTGCCACTGAGGGGGTGCTGGCTCCTGGTGACCAGAGGGGATAGGACAGAACTGCCCAGCAGGTTTCCAAGGTCGCATGTTTCTACCGAAGCAGAGGGCCACGTCGTTCTCCCTCAGGGAGGCCGGTGGAATCAAACCTCCAACCTTGCAGTTAGCAGTCAAGCACTTCAGTGCGTGCCACCAGGAGCCTGTGTCAATGCAGGGAGTGTGGAGACCTGATTGGAGTTTAGATAGGAGAAGGGCAGCTCGGGCACAGAGACAAGAAAGGACACCCCACCCCTGGAGCGGGCATGGGGAGTACCAGGTGGACAGAGCTGAGAGACTGCAGTCTCCCCACGGAGCCTCCCTGGAGCCCAGAGCTCTCAACCATGGCACCACCAGGGCTCCGGACTGTCAACTGATACGCTGGATGAGGCCGGGGTCCAGGCCCACAAGGGAATGCCGTGGCAGTTTGCTTCCGTAAAGGATGAAAAACCCAGCCTGTCTTCTGGCTCCCACGGAGAGGCTGAGGGGTTGGGACCACCCCGGCTTTCTGGCAGCAGCTCGGAGCTTTAGTCCCGGGGCCACCAGGGCAACTTCCACACAGATTTAAAGCAGGAAGAGCATGCTGCCCAGACCGCAATGACTCAGAGTGGCCCCCAGAACGGCTTCGCTTCGAGGGGTTTCCAAGACTGCAGTCTGCACAGAGACACACTGCCTCTCTTCCTCCCGCAGCAAGAGCGTCTGCACCACCCACCCTCCTGTCAGCCAGCAGTCAAGTGCTTTAACCATGGGGCCACAGCCTGGGAACCCCTCTGGGGCCATTGCCCCCTGTCCTGCAGGGTGGCTAGGAGCCAGAATCGACCTGACGGCCACGGGTCTAAGCCATGAGGGAAAACAGGTCCGGTCTTCCCATCCACCAGCTCGTGGGTGCCCTGCTGCAGCCGCGTCAGAGAACGAAGGCCAGGGCCGCCTTCTCAGCCTCGAACTGGGGCAGGGAAGCCACTGTGCTATCCCAGGAAGGATGCTGCAGCCAGGAGCTTGGGGAGAGGCCTGTGCATCAGCTGGGGAGGGAAGGGGGCCCAGGACAGAGACAGGGAGCACAGGGAGAAAGGGTGCGGGCCGAGCCAGCACAGCCAGGAAAGGAAGGAACCCTTTGCAGGAAAACTGCTCTGGAGGTGGCAGATGTTGCTGGTTCTGGGCCCAAGAGACCCTTGGGGGAGGGGTGGCTGCACACAGGTCACTTGAGACACGGGACAGGGGAGAGGATGGATTCGTAGTCACATGCAGAGCGGTATCAGTGCAGCAGCCCCAGCCCTCCTCTGAGTCTCTGTGCCTTTCCCAGGCCCACCGGCGATGTCCCTGACCCCTCTCTGCATTCCAGCCCACAAGGATGACGCCAACCTCCCTGGTCTCCATATGCTTCCACGGCCAGCCTCATTTGTACCAATAGAAGACGGGGCACCCAGTTCTCAGGGTCCATGACATGGCAGGGACCAGTTGGTATCGACTCCTCGTGCGGGCGTGCTGGCCGTACTTTATACTGGACTACTGCCTGGGCCATCTATGAGTTAAATATTCTGACACCAGGCTGGGGCCCGCGCACGCACCGCCCCACTGACTCCTCCATGGGGGGCTCAGGGCAAAGGCTGGTTCCATCTCTAGTCCCTCCCACAGCCCCTGCCCATTACATGCACGTACTGCTCAGGGCAGGGCACCTCCGGGTTCAGGGGGTGGAGGCATACCAGAACTCATCCAAGCCTGGTACTTCTCAGCTTCCTTCGCCCGTGCCCTAGACAGAACCTGCTCTCTTTGACCCAGGCTCCCTGGGGCCACCTCTGTAGCCTACGGAGGGCTGTGTGGGTTAAAATGGCCTTTGAAATTGCACCCTGCCCTCTGAGGGTCCTCCAACCTCCCCTGCCCCCCACCACCAACTGAGAGTCACCAGTCAAATGTCAACCATTTAACAGAACCATGCACAAGCCCCGTGGGGACCACCCTGCTCCTTGCACACAGTCCCCAGGCTTCTCGGCGCTCACGGCAGGCCCTGGGCTGTGTTCTCTGCCTGGAGCACTCCTCCCTCACGTCCTTCTGGTCTCCACTCCGGCCTTACCTCAGCCGGAATCATGGCAGATAAGACAGCACGGGCCCCCTCCCTCCCCGGGGCCCAGGACTCCCTGTGGGGAATGCTCTGCTTTATTCTGCTCGGAGCTTTCAGTCCCCACTATCATTGCTGCGCCTGCTCCCCCTGCTCTGTGAGCAGGGACTCTGTTTGGTTTTCAGCCGCATCCCTGGGGCCTAGAAACCGCTGGGACACACTGGAGGGACCACAGATGCTTGTGGAAGGAGGTGGGGGTGGAGAGAGAGTGGGAGGAGAAGGGAGAGAGAGCTCTTGGCTCCGTGGAGTAGCCCTGTCCTGTGGGGAAGCAGAGCCGAGGAGAGGGACCTGGGAGAGAGGTTCAGAGATGTGAGCCCACCTACCCACCCACTCCCCCGCCCCCCCACTCCATCCACCAAGGTCTGCCTACAACGATGAAAAGAGGCAGGGACAGAGATGCCCAGTCTTGGACGCCCTGAAGATAGATCGTGGCCTCCTCTCTCCTGCACACTGGGGTCCCCTGGCCCGCTTACCTGGGGACACAGAGGTCAGCACTGGTGTCCAGATAGGTATCTGGTGGGCAGGCACAGCCCTCCACGCACTCGTCCCCACTGCGGTGGCCACCACTGTCCATACCACAGGCCTCGAGGCCAGCCAGGTCCTGGCAGGTTTGTCCACACGTGTGTACACAGGGGCTGTACTCCTTGGTGGCCTCACAGGACAGTGCTGCAGCGGGAAGGGAAATCGTGCATGGTCGTCATCATCCCCACCGCGTGGGGGGAGTCACTGCACATCCCGCCGAGGAGAACTGAGAGCGGAGAAGTGAGACGCTCGCTCGCCCAGGTCACACCTCCTAGGATTTGGATCCAGGGCCAATTCCAGATTTGCACACCCTCTCACTGTGCCGGGTGACAGTGCGATAGGGTGAGCCCTTTGCCGGGTTCACCCTGGACACCACCATAGTGTCAACTCCGCCCTGAGGGACACTGCCCTCAGATAAGGGTATTGAGGGGAGTGGATGTCACCGCCCCCTCGTGGGCCTGCACCAGTCCTGGTCGTGCGGGTGAACGGGCCTGTGAAGGTCAGCTGTGCCCGCCAGGGCCTTTCTCCCAAGACTCAGGGCCACAGAGCCAGCAGAGACCCAGAGACCACCATGCTCAGCTGTGCTCAGGCCCAGCTGCCAGCAGAGTCTCCCGGAAGGCTTTTCCAAGGGGATGATGCCCGACTATGACCAGTGTGGTGGGCTCTGATCTGTCATCACTACCCTGGACAAGATGGCAGCCCCGAGCCACGTGCAGTGTGGCCAGTCCAAACTGAGACACGCCCTACGTACAATGTACACACCAGATTTCAAAGACTTGCCTTAGAAAAGGTTTTAAAAAACGGTGTGTTACGATATATTGAACAGACACATAGCTAGCTAGGAAGATAAGAGGGCCGGATCACAAGAAAGGGAGAGAGGACTAGGTAGATGGGTGAACACTTTGGACACCGAGGTAAACTGAGATCTGTTACTAGTTTATTGGTACATCCTGACCCCTGGGCCCCACGGCCAGCTATGATGTTTCCAACAATAGTGTACTCGGCCCACCTAGGAGCCTAGTTTCATTGCTGAAGTTCTGTCGTGATTCTGGAGGACGCCTGGTCCCATCCAACCAGCTCTGAGGAAGGTGAGGCTCAAAGAGAGGCAGGCCCTGGCCCCAGGACACACATGGCAAGTTACCGGCAGAGCTGGATCGGAACCAGGCCTCCTGTGGCCCATTGCAGTGCCTGGCTCATTTATCCAACTAATATCTGCAAGCGTCTGTCTCAGTGGGGCTGGGGGGGAGGGGGGCTGCAGGGGAGGAGCGTGGGCAGGGGCAGGAGGAGGAGCGGAGTGGCGGGCAGCTCATTCTCCTCAACCTACAGAGACTCCACCGGATTGGACAGGGGCCGGGACCTTTGTAAGTTCTGTCTGGCCACTGTGAGAGCAGGCAGGAGGAGCCCGGTGGAGAGCTTCGACAGCTCCCCCATGCAAGGTTGCCGAGCTCTGGCCACCCGGCTGCCCTCGCAGGGGCATCCACGTGCGGGGCACTCACCACAGGCGGGCAGGTGGGCACGGAAGTCGATGGGGAGCCCGTGGCGCCGGCACAGGTGGGCGTAGTGGGCGAGCGCGGCACACAGGCAGGGCTGCCCGCAGCGGCAGGCGTCCTGGCGACACTGCTCGAAGTAGGCCACGGGGCTGACGTAGGTGGAGCAGGGTTCGAACAGCCCCCCGGTCAGCACGCTGCATGCCTGCACCGCGTAGGAGGCTGAGGGCAGGAAGGGGTGGAGGGGCCCCCATCAGTGCCCCGGACCTCAGCCTCTCCTCTCCGGACAGCCCGAGTGTGTGTGTGCATGTGTGCAGAGAGTGTGTGCACAACATGTGGGCAGAGACGGGGCCTGTGCCTCATTCCGGGTGTATCTTACTAAGGCTGGGCTTGACTGCAGAGCTGTCTGTGAGCATAGTGCACGTGCGGTAGAGTGGGTGTGCGTGCGAGTGCACACAGGCACAGGTACGCACTCACACAATGCATTCCACATGTGCCCAGTAAAAATCTATCTGCTGGACAGAGGTATAGCTGTGAGCCAGACAGGCCTCCTTGCCTGCACGGAGCTTACATTCTGGTGCAAGGAGACCATCCTTCAGGAAATTAGAAGGCAAGGGATCTAGGGAAGGAGGGGAGGGCTGTGAGGTGGCCAGGCAGGCCTTGGCGAAGAGTTGGGATGTGGGATGTGAGGGCAGACGTTGACGAGGAGGCGGGGGAGGGTACACATCAGAAGGAGGCTTGCTGCAGGCAGGGAAGGGCAAAGGCAAGGGCCTGTGGGTGGGAGCAGGGCTGGGGTGGGGAACACCCCAGAGGCTAGTGTGGCCAGAGCAGGAGGTCTGGGAGGTGAGGGGAGTGGACAGAGTGCAGGGCTCTGTGAGCCACTGTCAGGACCTTGGGTTTTTCCCTGAGATCCAGGAGTGTGTGTGTGTGTGTGTGTGTGTGTGTGTTTTCGCATACCCGTGGTAGGACTTAAAGCTTCTGCTTCACCTGGCCACCCCCTTCTCTCCTGTCCCCCTACCTGAAGCTCCTCCTCCTCTAACCGTCTGCACCAGTTTGCCCAGGTGGCCCATTCCCCACCAGGCCCCAGTGTTCCTTGTGGCCTGAGCCTCCCTGGCGCCTCATTCCCCCTGATATCTGGGCACCTCACCAGCTTGCAGGTGCACGTCACATGGGTCCAGTGGAGAGCCAGCAGACAGCGGGGAGCAAGCAGACAGCGTCTTCCAAGAATTGCCAAAGAGCTGTGGGGTGCTCTCAGGCACGCCCACTGGGGACCTGCAGCCACAGCACAGCCACATTCACACGTGTGTCCGTGTAAACCCAGGTGAACATATGAACACACCCAGGGAAGCATCCACCTGCTTCTGCTTACATACACACTACAGATGAAGCGTGCACACTCGCACATGAGGCGTGTGTGTCCCACTCAGACATGGAAGGTGCACTCATACAGGCACAGCAGGTGCACTCCCTCCCTCACCCGCCCCCCCCCCACACACACACACACACAAGCCCAACACGCACACGGCCAAGGAGCTCTGTACAGCCATGGCCAAGCACATGGAATTATGGGTGCATACACACACATAGGGACACATATCACATTTAATAAGCTTGGAAAAGGCTCCAGATGGACTTGGGACCATACACTGTCCCATCTTGCCCTGCCCACCCTCAGTGCCGCAAGTCAGAATGGGAGAAACAGGGGTGTCATCATGAGTACTAAAGGGCACTCCATTAAGACCTCCTCCCTCCACACTTCTAAAGAGTGGCTCTGAACACCCCTTTATCCCTTTCTCTCTAGGTAGGCAACGGTCAAGGGAGCAGCAGTCAATAAAGAAAGGAGAGCTCTCGGCAATCACCGGAATCACCAAAGTAGGTGCAGGTGTAGAATGGAGAGGGGCTCTAGTTGTGCTCATAGTCCGTGGGTCTTACATCAGTGTACTCGGCATCCACCATGCCCAAATCTGATCCGGGGAAGGGAGAGCACTCCCGTCTCACAGCGACATCCTTACCCAGAGTTCAAATCTAGAACACCAGGTCAGCCTCCACCATCTGATCAGCTGCCCTGACATCAGTTCAGCCTCACCAGGCAAGAGAGGGTGGGGTGCTGCGTTTTAAAAGGAGTGTGCATTGCAAAGCTCTCGGCGTCTTCTTGTTTTTAGTTTGCACAGAAACATTGAATTTTGATTTGGTAGCCAATCCCTGGCACACTTTTCAGGAAGGATCAGTCCCGTGAGAAGGGCATCGTGCTGGGTAAAGTAGAGGGCGGTAAGAAAGAGAAAGGCTCTCAAGGAGATGGATTGACACAGGGGCTGCACCGATGAGCTCCAGCACATGGACAATGGTGTGAGGATGGTGCCAGACAGGGCAGCGTTGTTCTGGTGTGCATGGGGCAGCTATGGGTTGGAATTGACTCCATGACCCCTAGCACCAATAACCAAAGCCAAGCCTCCCCTGAGTCTTCCTGCTTTGGCCAATGATGGTCACTTGAAGGAGTGGCCAGAAGCTCCAGTCTTTAAGATCACGCCCTTGTTCTCCTTTCTGGAAAGTCTGATTCCTGTGCTCTAAGTTCCTAAATGGTGTTCATTCCCAAAAGGGGGTGGATGGGTCCCTTGCCTTGAATACTGGGGGGCTCCGAGGGTACAAGCTGAAAAGCCATCAGCCATCAAGCAGGAAGAGAGTACATGGGTTAGACCAGCTTGGTGGAACAGAAAGTGAAAGTAGGCATGGTGGTGTCTGACTCACCAAGGCTTACACTTATGTAAAGTTGTTCACAATTAAAGCAAGCAAGCACTTAAAAAACCCAAACACCTCAACAATCTACTGCCAAGATTCCAACCCATGGTGACCTATCCAGAGCTTCTGAGACTATAAATCTCCCCAGAAGCAGTCTTATCTTTCTTCCTAGGAGCAGTCAGTGGGTTTAAACTGCCGACCTTGGGGCTAGCAGCTCAATACCTAACCCACAGTGCCACCAGGGCTCCTTCAGAAAAACAGCTCCATGAGATAAATCCAGCCCCGCCTGAGTTCCTCCCACTTGAAGACTTCATAGTGTTTCTAAACACACGTAAAGTTAGGAGTAGGAATCACTCGCTAATGGTGCCAGTCAGAGATCACAGCTCCTGGGCGACATTCTTAGGCAGTTCTGTGGACGCTCAAAAGAGCCCTGCAGACACCGCAGGACCCTGCTCCAAGGCCCATCCAAGGGCTGACTGCTCCCCCCAACCCACCCCCTTCACGGGACAAAGATGCTGCGTGTGCTTCCATCAAGATCGAGAGCCTTGACCAGCCCGTTGGAGTCGTTCTACCTGCCCTTATGAGTCAGCAAGACTCTACACACCGCCTACCCTCCCCACTTCCGGTTCCCGGGCGGGCGGGCGGGCAGGCGCGCTTACAGGAAATCATCCTGCGTGTTGCCGTTGAAGGTGCCGCAAAGGCCCACGGTGTCCTCCAGCCATCGCTGGTCCACCTGCAGGTAGAGCCGCAGCCCTTCGCGGTCGTAGAGCACCCGCACACCCACGTTGGTCCTCACCCGCAGGAACACAGACGACAGCCTCCGGATCTCAAAGGCATCTGAGCGCACAAGCAGACAGTCCGAGATGGAAGGACCGGACCGCAGGACCCATCCCGCCCACCTCCACCGCTCCCATGCCTCACTTCCACCTCCCCGTATAGGTCATGGGCTCCATGAGGAAACCTTGTCCAGTGATGACATCAGGGGCCAGAGATAACCTGTGAAAGCATCCCCATCTGAGGAACTTCTTTTAGCACAAGGTGTCAAAGTATCCTAAGCATCTGGGATATCCTTCCTTGACCACATGAGTGATGATTCTCTATTTCCTGCATAATGGCAACCAGGAAGGACGCAATACAGATGCTACACTCAATTGCCCCATAGCCACAGCAACCCTATAAAGGGTTTCTGAGACTGGGCATCGTTATGGGAGCAGATAGCCTCAGCTTTCTCCTGTGGAGTGGTTAGTGGGCTCGAACCACCAACCTTGTGGTGAGCCGTCCGAGGCTTCCCCAACAGCACCACCAGGGCTCCTTATATTCAGTTACAGCCAACTTAAATTTTAGACTGGGTTGTAGAATTGTAACTAACGTGACAGCCTTGTGGCCTGCATCTTGGTGGCCTTTTCAAATGGCAGGTACCCTCACTCCCTGGGACCATGACACCACCTCCGCCACCATCCCCCTCTTGGAAAAAAATCTTCTCCCTGCTGCTCGGCTCTTCTTTCTAAACAGTTCCTTCGGACTACCAAGTCCTTCATGGAATCAGGCAGGATGGGATGGCTTCATTCACAGGGCAATGTTAGGTGAATTGATGATACGGCTACAATGACCACCGTGGTGTTTGGTTGGGGGTGAGACCACACTTTGAGACATCGCATTCCTGGGGCCAATGTGCCTCCTGACCTGACCCACCCAGCATTACAATTGGAGCTCTTGCACATGCGGCCATGTTTGTGGGCAGAAGGATCTGGGAGAATCAGCCCCCACCCTAAGTCATACCGTCTGTGTAGGGCGGGGTGACCTTGTACTGGTCAAACAGAAGGACATCTCCCGCCTGGGTCAGGGTCACCTGCCTCCGAGGGTCCTGGTGCAAGATCACTGACACAGACTGGACACAGGCCCCGTCCTGGTTCTGGAGAGAGGGAAAGGCCAATGAGACAGAAGCAGTCTGTCTGGCCTGCTGGTCCCAAGAGAACTCTCCAGGGGCAGGGACTCCATCCCATTTTAAGACTGGGGTGGGCTTCTCAGAGTGACACTGGGAACCATCAAACCTAATGCCCTTATTTGGGAAATGAAGGATGGAGCTCAAATTGGAGAAACGAGCAAACATTCTCTGGGTTTCAAGTTCTCTCTCTGAAAAAGGGGGCTTACATCCCTACATCCCTTTCACAGAAAGACATTCACGGCATCATTCATTCAAACATTTCCTGAGCACCTATGATGCAAAGGGCACCCTGTGCCAGGCTTTATGAATACGATGATGAACAAGATAAACACAGTGCCTGTCCTCATGGAGATTACATATTTTGGGGAGACACAGATATTACACATGTAGTTACACAGCTGGTTAGTTCCCTACAATGGCCAGCTGGCAGGTGTAGGCTGCTGGGAAAGTATACGAGGAAAGAGCCAGGCTTGATCTTCAGAGAAAGCAAAGGCTGTCTTAGAGAATAAGGAAAGTTAAAAAGATACAATAACAACAGTAATGAAAGCATTAATAATGATAGCAGCTAACTTTGCTAGAGAGTCACTATGTTCAGGTATTATTCTGGTCCCTTGATCTATATATAGATATAATTTAATCCTCAAAGCAGTTCTACAAGTACGTACTATGGACAGCCCCGTGTTGCAATTCAGAAAACGAAGGCACAAAAGGGTGACATTTGAACTGAGATAGAAGGATGCATGGAAGCCCCCGGGAGGGAGGAGCAGACTGGGCCAAGGCCCTGCCCCTGCCCGGTGTCTCATGCATTCCAGCGTTCCAGGGTGTAAAAGAAGGCCTGAGGGACCAGAGCCCACTAGGCTAAGTCGTTTAAGATGAAGCTCAAGAGACTAACAAGGCTTGTCTTATACAAAGCCTTGAAATCTTTCTGGACTTTATCCTGAGTCCAAGCAAGAGCCAGAGAGAGCATAACAGGAGGGTGAACAGAAAAAGAGATGATCAAGACTTGAAGCTTCTTGGAAAGACATTCGGCGACAGTTCCTCCGAAGGAGGGACAGAAAATCCCTGAAACAGCCCAAGATTGACCTCTTAGCTTCTTCTTACTCTTCTTTCATCTTTCCCTGCTCCAACCTGCCCCCACACCGTACACATACACACACACACACACACACACACACACACATTCCAATGTCACTGTTTTGATTCGCCATCAAGTCCTTCCAGAATGCCCTTTCTCTCAATAGATAGGTAGAGGTATAGGAATAGAGATAGATAGATAGATAGATAGATAGATAGATAGATAGATAGATAGATAGATAGATAGATAGATAGAAATATCTATCTACATATAGATATAGACAGACATGTAGATACATATTAGATAGAGATGGATGTAGGATCAGGTTTCTGATCTGCCACATAGGGCTGTCCATAGAACGTACCTCATAGAACTGCTGTGAGAATTAAATAGGTAACCATATATAAAGGAAATAGAATAGCACCTAAACATAATAAATCTATACTAAAGTTAGCAATTATTATTAATGCTTTCATTATTATTGTAATATTTTCCATTATCATTATTCTCTAGGGCAGTGGTTCTCAACCTTCTTAATGCCGCAACCCTTTAATACAGTTCCTCGTGCTATGGTGACCCCCCAACCATAAAATTATTTTCATTGCTACTTCATAATTGCCATTTTGCTGTTATGAATCAGGCGACCCCTGTGAAAGGGTTGTTCGACCCCCAATGGGGTCACGACCCACAGGTTGAGAACCGCTGCTCTAGGGCACTCTGCTTTCTCTGAAGATCAAGCCTGGTTCCTTAGATACTTTCCTAGTAGCACTGTTTATCTTGCTCGTCATTCACATATATGTTTGTGTATGCATGTATACATAAATACATAGAGAGGTAAAAGATAATATCAATACAGATTAAAGATAAATACATATCTAGATGTGGATCTTTAATCTATATTACATACAGATAAAAGATATATATATCTCTGGGGGATGGCTTCCTGAGTTGAGGGGAGTGAGCCTTTAGTCTCCAGATCAGGAAGAGCCTGGGTCTGCAGCTCTGAGCAGGGCTGAGAGCTGGCTCCACGGCAGCCAGTGGCAGGAGCAAAGGAGTCACCACTAGGGGGCAGCCCAACACTTCACCCAAGTCTCCCCTGCACCCACAAACTGGTCATTTCCCAGGTGCCTGGCACAGCCCACAGATCACTTCCTCCAATGAGCCTCGCAAACACCCGTACTCTGAGGGAGATCACAGTTCCTCCTAGAGGTCTCCCCTCCCCAATCCCCCTACACTCTCAGAGCTCCTGTAACAGGATGGTCTATGATCTTAAGGTCTGCAAAGCAGGCCCAGGAGGACAGAGCCAGGTCAGACTTGTATCCTGCCCAAAGTCTGGCACAAACTGGCGTTCAGTGTATGCTGAGCGGATGACTGGAGCACATGAACCGAGCGCACAGACATGTCGACAGTCCAGCCCAGGGAAGCACAAAAGGACCTTGAACTAGATCCATTTGAGAGATCAGAAAGCAACAACCACAGAACCTCAGGAAAGGGAGAGACTCCGGCCAGCAGACGTGCTGGAGCCAGAGGCCAGGCTCCTGCCTCTCAGCTCTGTCCAGGAAGGAGGGGCAGCAGGGTAAGTGGGCTGTAAGCAGACCTGTGGACCTGCCTCAAAACCCCAACCTCTCTAGAGGGAGTAGGGCAGGGGCTGGCTAGCTGGGTTGGGTCTGCCCCCAGCCCACCCCCCCAGCTCTTACCAAGCCACACGGGGCATTGTGCAGCATCACAGTGAAGGTGCCTGAGGAGCGGCTCTTGGCCAGGATATACTGGCATGTGGCAGGGAAGGTGTACCGGCGGCCGTCAAAGGTGGTGAAGTGGATGTCACCAGTCACTGAGCACTCAGCTGCAGGGCAGAGGGAGGCCCCGTCCATGGGAGCTGCTTCGCTGGCTCCGAGCACGAGCAGCAGAAAGGAACCAGAGCAGCCTTGGCCCTCCCTCTAAGAGCCTGGTCAATGGGGTGATGCCTCTGACCCTGGAGGCCAATCTGAAGGGAGGCACAGCCCTGCCCTGTGGGGAGCTTGGACCCTGAGTTCAAGGACATACCTGGGCAGACGGCCGAGCTGCACACCCATCTGCCTGCCGTGCACGTGCTGAAACACAAAGGCCCAGGGGGCAGGGGGCTCCCATTCAGGCTGGCAGGTGCTTTTCTCAGGAGATTGCAGGCCCATAGTGCTCCTGGCCCCAGCCCCGAGTCTCCCCATCTCTGAAATGGGAGGTGAAGTTCCCCCCACCCCAACAAATACACACACAGATACAGAAACACACACACAGGCCCACACCAACACTGACACACACAGATATACACACCAACACACACACTCACGCACAAATACACACACATATACAGATACACACACAGACATATACACACAGATACAGACACAGACACACACAGATGCACATAGACACGTACACAGATACACACAAACACACACAGATACACATACACATAGACACACAGACACATATGGACACACACACAGACACATGCAGACACACACACATACACAGATACACAGACACAGATACACACAGACACACCACACACAGATACACACACACACATACAGATATGCACAGACACAGACGCAGATAACACCTCTCCGAATTGGCTCTACTGTAAGGTGACCAGACTTCCGGCTTTTGGTGGGACAGTCCCGATTTTTAACAATTTGTCCCGCGTCCCGCGGCGTTTTAAAAAAGTACCGATTTTTTGAAAGAATGCACAGTTTTCGGCTGCCATGTGGCTATTTCGCCAGTATATGAGTTTTATCAATGGTGTCCCGCTTTTGTCCCGCTTTACCAATGTTAAAATCTGGTCACCTTACTCTACTGAGATCCCCTCCGGACCCCCAGATCCATTGGGCAGCCCTGGGAGGAGGGCCCTCCCCTGCGGTGGCGGGCACAGACCAGGCATTGCAGTCCTCCTGCACCACAGAGCCAGTCGGGTACACGGTCCCGTGGAACTCACAAGGACACTCCACTGGGGCCACACAGGCCCCGTCCTCGAAGATCAGCCCTAGGGAGACAGCGAGTCGGCCCACTTCCCCTGCGCCCCTGCTCACAGCCCTCCCTTGGCTGCCCTTGCCTGGGACAAAGTTCCCTCATCTAAACACACACACACACACACACACACACGCACACGCACACGCACACGCACGCACACGCACACGCACACACACAAGCTCCCAGGCTTCAGCCAGAGGGCTCCATCCACCGCCCTGGGAGCCCTCCCAGAGTAGAACTGGCCTCAGAGAACACACCTGCACCTGCACCTGCACATTGAATAGCTTCTCCTGACCCCCTCTCAGAAGGAACCACAGAGTCTGGACGCAGCTCAGGTACCCCCTCCCCCAGGAAGCCTGCCCTGACAAACCTTTCGCCTACTGAACTTTAGCTCTCTCTGTCTTAATCCCCAAACAGGCCCGGGGCCACACCATGTCCTAGCCTGGATCGGATTCCTGACGCCAGTGGCGGTATCTTTATGTTCTCTTCCCTCCGGCCCTTGCCACCAAGACTCCTAATCAAATGAGCTGCAGGCCCCAGGGACACTGTGGGCGGGTGTGTCCTCTGCGAAAGTGTGCACGGCTGGGTGCCCAGGCCATGCCTGAGTGCAAAGGAATGAGCGCACGTCCTCATCTACACGCCCCAGAAAGCTCAGTCTTCATCGGTGGTGTAAGAGCCCTGATGGATCCCACCAGAGGCTGCAGTGCAACCCTGACCGTCACCACTGTACTCTCTGCACAAGCAAACATCTCCGGACCCCTTGCTTCGTGCCCACCTCTGCCAGGCCAGGGGGATGCTGTCAGCCCCCACCCCCCCAATCCCCGCCCCAGCATACCATTGGGGCAGTAGCAGCCGTCCACACAGGCGATCTCGCTGTCCACACAGGATGCCTGGGGCCGGCAGGAGGCGGGGCAGCAGGCAATGCACTCATTGTAGGTGAAGCCCTCTTCCTTACAGCGCACAGCTTGGGAGGGACGGGGTGCCATGATCTGTCAGCCCCACCCTGGCCCTGGTGCTGCCAGGATCTGGTCCCTACTCCAGGCCGTTGGGTGGGAGCGAGAGGGCTTTGATCTTTCTGATCCCTTTCCAAAACTAAACACACTGCCATTGAGTCAATGCCAACTCATAGAACTGCTCCTGTGGGTTTCTGGGACTATAACTCTTTATAGGAGTAGAAAGCCTCGTCTTTCGCCCACAGAGAGGCTAGTGGTTCTGAACTGCTGACCTTTTGGTGAGAAGCTCAAGCGTAGCACACTAGTACTGGTGAAACTGGCACAGGCCTAAGAGGCTCTGAGAACCCCCCTCGTCTCACTCTGTGGCCCTGCACTGCCCCCCCCCCTCCCTTCTGAGCCTCCCTGTTTCCATCTGTCACAAGCAGGATGGGACCACAGAGTGAAAGTTCTGCCAACCGCAGCTCTGAGCAACACTGGACACCCAGGCTGTCCAAGCCCTCACCGCCCACAGCTAGGCTGCACCTACCACACTGCGGGAGCTGCGACCTCCAGTCCATCAGGGGGCGCCCCGCCTGGGCACATGCCCGAGCATACTCGGCCAGCGCCCGGCACCAGGTGGCTTCATCACTTGCCGATCTGTGCAGGAAGACGAAGGGTCATAGTGCAATGACGCCCAACCGCCCCCCTCCAGACCCCCAGACAGAGCCTACTAGAGACTTGAGGGGCTTCAGGGCACCACTGCCCTCCACACAGCTGGGAAAAAGAGCTGGGAGCCCATCTACATGCACAGAATGCTCCCCTGAAGGGTTGAGGGGGTAGGCCCTGTCTCTGGACCTCAGTTTGACTGGGAAGCTCTGTCCCATGCAGCCAAATTAAAATGTCAGGTGGTCGGAGGTATCTGTCAGGCCCTCGTTCTATAGTGGGAGAGGTCTTCCCGCAGCCCAACCCCCTCCCCAGCTCCGGGCTGCCCACTCACTGGCAGAGGTCACTGCTACAGCTGGCTGTGAAGGGCAGCGGGCTGACGTAGGCGTGGCAGGCGTCAAAGGGAGGCCGCAGCAGAGCTTCACACCGCTCATACACACCCTGGGCAAGGGCGAGGAGCCAGAGGTGAGTGCCAGCTGGGCCACGGACAGCCCTTCGATCTCATCAGCCTCCCCTGAAACCCCCACGTGGGCCAGAGAGAGAGGAGAGTGGGGAGAAGAAAGGGGCCTGGGCCCTTGCAGCCAGTGACTGGTCAGGAGCTGGACGGGACCGAAGCCGGGCCCTGAGTAGAGGTGGGGTGGCGGTGGAGTCCCCCCCAGAGACCAGACCTGCATGGCTCCTGGGCTCTGCTGCAGGCACGGTGGGCGAGGAGGGGAGAAGGTCGAGGGCCCTGGAGGCTGGTTGGGGGCTGGTTCCTGCCAGCTGTGCACAAACTCAGTCACATCATCTGTCAGCTTCCCTGCAGAGGACAACTGGGGTAATCATGGGTGGGGGTACAGGAGGGCCAGAGGGGAGGGATGCCAAGAGATGGGCAAGGAGTTGAAGAATTCAGACTCCTGTACTCCCGTTCCATTTGGTGTGTTTCAACTGAGTCCTTCTCCTGGTTGGAAAAGCCGCTTGGACCGCATCCTCAAGGCTGCTCAAGAATCTACAGTAGCCTCGACTGGGCCACACACCAGCTCCTGGGAAGCCGCCCCAGGCAGTCCAAAGGGACGTGCCGTGTGAGCCTGAACAAGTTCCTGCTCCTCTCCGAGCCTCAGTCTCCCCGCCTATAAAATGGGACCGCTAATCCCCATATGAGGTGACTCTGGTCTTTAAAGCACTTGGTGTGCAGTGTGGGTGCTCACAAAGCAGTACTTCCGATAAGAGCAACAAATGGACAAATGTGCTTGACACATTGATGAGTAGATGGGGTGTGGTAAGAGCTGTATGAGCCCCCAGTAAAATGATTTTTTTTTAAAAAGGCGGTACTTCTTTTCCTCTGGCCACCGTCAGCAGGGCTCCGTCTAGGATATTGACTTAGACTTCCTACCACTCCTTCCTACCAACATTGACAACCAGCTGGACCCTTTGTCTTCCTAGCTCCTCGCTGGTCCGCTTTCCTCAAAACACACACACACACACATCTTGCAGGGGTCAATCCTACTTAACAAAGTGTTTAGCAAGAGTAGGTGCTCTAAGAATGCTTGCTGGAAGGAAGACACAAATGAGTAGTGCAGTGTGTTGTGGACATGAGGTCCACGCAGTCAGTGACTAAATCCTTCTAAACGCCTCGGAAGAACTTTGGTCCTGAAGCCCTGGGAGGCTGCCTAGCCTCCTGTGGGCAGGTGCCTTTCTGCGTGGTCTCACTCAGCCCACCTGCCACCAGGGAGGCTGGGGCCATCGGCAGCACCTCGCAGGGAGGACATGAAGGTTGGTTTTTTATTCCCCTTGCAGTGTAAAAAATGGAGTTTGGTCCTTTAGACAGCGCAGTCACCTCTACAAGCTTATCCATGGGGGCAGGGATGCCTGTTTCCACGATTGCACAGATGAGCAAACGGGGGTCCCGAGTGCTTCAGAACTTGAATGAGGCCAAACAGCTGCTAGGCTGTGAGGCCGCCCACTGGGTCTTCCTTCCTCAGATCCCAGCCCCCCCCCACCCCCCACTCTGTCCACTCAAATCTATGCCTCACCACCACCACCCCCAAAGCCTGTCCAAGACAAGCTGTCCTGGGCCTCACCGTAGCTGGTCACCAGGTCGTCCTGGGGGTCAGCATTGTTGTTCCCGCAGAGCCCGTGGGTCCCACCCAGGACCTCAGGGCTCATCTTGATGTAGACAGCAGAGGTACCATCCCAGGCCAGGGTGAAGGCTGCCTGGTGCCGCACGATGATGTAGCCGGCCAGCCGCTGAAGACGCGTGCTCCCCATCACACGGGGCAGAGAGACCCTGCACAGCATAGCCAGGGCTCCAGGGGAACCACTCCACCCACGCACCCCGCCCTTCACCAAAGGATACGCTGCCCAATGCCAGGGACATAGCACTACCCAGGGCCTGGTCATCCAGATGGCCACTGCCACGAGGGGACCTCAAAGTCCCCCAGCCCACCCCCTGGTTCCTTGGTACTTGGGAGTCTACTATCAGAGAGGGACTCTCTCCGTCCAAGGTTTTTTCCAACACTGCGATTCTCCTGGAGGGAGAAAATTTAAGAGTGACTGATTTGTCCGTCCTTTTCTGGGCAGAAGGGATGGTATAAGCCGACTTCAACTTTGTTGATGTTCTTGGTGGAGAAAAGGAATGGAGTAGAAAGAGAAAAGACCAAGCCAAGGGAAAGAAAGAAAAAACACGAAAACACGGGAGTGAGAACTACAAACACAGGAAATAGAGCTACAGGACTTGTGACCACCTTTTCAGCTGTAGATTTGGGCCACTTCCAAGCCCTGAAAATTAGGAAAAGGAAACAAAAGATGTTTCTAAGCTGCCAACATGGGCATCAAAAAGATCCACAAACACAAACCCAGTGCTGTCACGTTAATTCCGGCTCCTGGCAGCCCTCTAAATGTTCAAACACAGCGGTGCTCCCTGGGGCTTTTAATGATTGATTTTCAGACAGGGGTTTTCAATGACCAACTGCCAGGACTTCCTCCCAAGGTGCCTCTGGGTGAACTTGAACATCCCACCTTCCCCTTGCAGCTGAGTGCATTGACCAGGTGCACTCCCTCTGCTGCTGCGAGGTGTCATTGGGCCCATCCAGCCCATAGCGACCCTGTGTATGACAGAACAAAACGCTGCCCGGTCCTGTGCCATCCTCGCCATCGTTCTGTGTGAGCCCGGGGTTGTCGCCGCTGCGTCAATCCATCTTGCTCAGAGCCTTCCTCTTTGTTGCTGCCCCGCTACTTTACCAAGCATGATGGAACCTCTCCAGGGATGCGAGGCAGTCGTCACCCTGGCCCCGAAGGAGCCTCATCGCTGTGCTTGTCCCAAGGAGATGCGAGTGTTCTTTTGGCGTCCAGAGCACGTCGATGGTCTTTGCCAGCACCATCGTTCAATGCATCGATTGGGCTTCCTTCTTCCTTAGTCAATGTTCCACTCTCACCTGCACAGGAGGCCATTGAAAATACCACGGCTTGGGTCAGGGGCACCTTAGTCCTCAAAGTAACTTCCTTGCTTTTCAACACTTTAAAGAGGTCTTGTGCAGCAGATTTACCCAATGCACCGAGGCGTTTGAACTCTTGGCTGCTGGTTCCATGAGCATTGATAGTAGAAAGGAGCAAGGCAAAATCCTTGACACCTTTTCTCCATTTATCATGATGCTCCCGATTGGTCCAATTGTGAGGATTTGGGTCTTCTTAACACGGAGATGTAATCCATCCCGAAGGCTGCAAGCCTTGATCTTCCTCAGCCAGTGCTTCAAGTCCTCCTCCCTTTCAGCAAGCAAGGTTGTGTCCTCTGCATACCACAGGCTGTTAATCAGCCTCCCTCCAACCCTGGTACTGCCTTCTTCCTATAATCCAGTTCCCTGATTCTTACTCGCTCAGCATGCAGATGGAACCTGATGGTGGGAGGATACAAGCCTGAGGCACGTCTTTCCTGATGTGAAACCATATAGTAACCCCTTGTCCTGTCGCACAACTGCCTCTTGACCCAAGGACAAGTTCCGAAAGAGCACGAGGAAGCGTTCTGAAATCCTGGTCTTCTCTCGGCTGTCCAGAGTCTGTCATGCTCCAAGCCTTCGGCGCCATCAAGAAAATCCATGTAAACCTCTAGTATTTTCTGCTTTTAGCCAAGATCAATTTTACACTCAACCCCCAAAATTGGGTTACAGTTTCCATATCTGAAGCAGGAAATGAGAAAGAGGAGAAGCCACGGTTCCCACCCTCTCCCTGCCACTCCTTTGATCGTCACTGAAGTGGGGGCAAGAGAAAACGATGACAGCGGGAAAGAGAGGCAGGGATCACTTCCAAAGGGACCACACTCTGGGACCATTTACTGTGGACATCAGGCTCGCTCCTTGGTCACCCGAACCTGTGGTATTCAAACTCCAGGCTATCAGAAAACGGTGAAGGTGGACACGGCATCTGCTTTGACGAGGCAGATCTGTGTGGGCAGACTGCTGTGAAGTCATGGGAGCAAACGAGGCATGGTATCGTGGTACTGGACGCAATGGCAGCTAAGCAGCACACCCACACTGCAGCTCACCTGCAGCTGTCTGGAAACACAGCTATTTGCCTGGGACCCTGTCATCTGGGGGCCCACAGAGCTGAGAGTTCTACAAAACCAGGAGGGTCTTAACTTCTGGCAGCCCCCAGAAATACAGCTAGCCCTTCTAGCATGCCCTGCCTGGTGGTAGAGCCTCTGCTGTTTCCCCCAAGAAAACATTTCCCTCTGGGCTGGAGAGGAGCAGATGCCACCCACCCACACCACTGGTGCCAGGGGGTAGGGCAACTCAGGAGACGTGCTTAGAATGACTTACCTCACACCTCCGTGGGTGATCTCCTTGGCCAAACGGATCTCTTGCTCACCGGCAAAGAAGAGGCTGACAGACCTCGAGCAGGTGTAAGGGGAGGTGCCACACTGAGGGTCATTGTGCACCTGAGTGAGGAGGTTCAGAGGACAGTTTGCAGGGCTCCTGCCCCACGTCTGCCCGAGCTTGGTTCTGAACCCAGTGAAATCTTCTGAGCTTCCACTAGTGCTGACCATCCACCCCTTGAACATCAATCCACTCCTCCGTCATCTCCCCCAGTCCTGGTGGCACCACAGCAAGGCCAGGGCTAAGCTTCTCTGTTTTCTGGAGAGGAGCCAACTGATGCCCAGAGAAGTGAACTGACTTACTGTAGGGCACGCCGCTAGGAAGGGGCAGGATTCAAACCCAGCTCTACAGGGTCACATTCTAGGGCTCTTTTCAGTACACCATGCTATGCCCCTATTTCTGGACTCTTTGTTTATTCAGTCCAGGCATCCCCCTAGAGTGAAGGCTGATGTCTACATCAACACAATCTCACTCACACAGAACAGGCAAGCGCACCCATCCCACACCATTTGCACACTCACAGGGCACCTCCGGGGAACACATTACAAATATACTCGACTCTCCAGAAAGAATAGAGCCCAACCTGCTGCAGCAGCACCTGCACACAGGTGCACACGGCACTCCTCTCCGGCAGGCCACACACATGTCTCATCTCCTCTGCCTCCTGCTCAGGTAGAACTCACACTGACCAGGTCACAGGACCCAGACAGAGGACTCCCCAGAATGTAGAGGAAAGGACTGAAGATGGAAGAAAGCCTTCCCTGACTGGAGTATTATGAAATCTGGATAAGCCATGCCAACCCAAAGTGGGGCTTGTGAAAGCCACCTCCCCACTCCAGGCCAGGGGCCACTGAAGTGCTTACTCTACGTCATCGTCAGAAAGACAGGCATAAATAAAGCAAACATTTCACAGCATTCTGTTTACCCCCGCTTAATGTGTAATGCATTCTTAGAAAATTTCCTCTTCTCTTTTTTTCTTTTTCGTCACCCACTGGCTTGCTTAATTACAACATGTCCATCGTAAAATGGCAAAGACATGGAAAAAGTCTGTCCCCAACCCACAACAGGCAGCTTCCCGGAGCAGCCTCCTGGCAGGTTTCAATCTGAGACAAAAGAGGGCACCAGGGGGAGACAGTCAGCACAAGGATCCCCCCAAAGCTCCAGCCCATGGCCCTAACTTGGCACTGACCAGTGGACTTCCTGCAGGGAGCAGCTGTGCTGACCAGGCTTGCCTACCAGTGGCTCTCTCATGTACTCCTGTGGGTGACAAACTTGTACTGAGCTCTAAAAGGACCACACTCTGGGCCCACTGAGTGTGGACATAGGGCTCACTCCTTGGTCACCTGAACTCTGTGCTGATGTCCCAGGAAACCATGGAAGGGTGGTAATGGATACAAGGGCAGACAAGCAGCACACCCACACAACAGCTCTAGGAAGTCAGCATCAACTCGATGGCAGTGAGTTTGGGTTGACGGTCTGTCTGTTTTAATCCACCAAGTGAAAAGATGTGGTCCACGTCTTCAAGAAGCTAACAGCTGGCAGAGGAGACCAACCCAGACACAGATCTTTGTCAGAGAACCATGGTGCCAGACAAATGGTATGGAATTCCAGTTACAGAGAGGAGCCCATCAGCTAACCTGGGCAGTCAAAGGATCCAGGAAGGCATCTTGGAGGAGGTGTTCCTATACTAAATAGTCTAGTACCTCTATCGTTTGCTCTGAAGCACTACGCCTTCTTATCTCGGGCTTGAAGCACCCATCATTCCCTGCTCCCACTCTTCACTTCACTAACCCCAATTCACCCTTCAAATCCAAATATAAAGGCCACTTCCTCCAGGAAGTCTTCTGGCATACCATCAGCACCAACCCTCCCAACGAGCGAGGCTTGGTTTCCATGCACACTCTCTCGCATTGTGGCATTTCTCCTCCATAGCACGCAGTTGCACTCGCAATGACTCGTGTGCTTTGACGTGTACTTTCTCCATTAGACGCCGGGCTCTGGGAAGACAGTGGCTGCATCTGTGCTGTTGTCCACCAAGCCTTGTGCCAGGAAAAGAGGGCCAAACCCAAGCGCCAAACCGCTGGCCATGGACTTGATTCTGACTCATAGTGACCCTGTAGGACAGAGTAGAACTGCGCCTTCGGGTTTCTGAAGGAGCAGGAGCAGACAACCTCTCTTTCTCCTTCGGAGCGGCTGGTGAGTTTGAACTGCCTACCTTTCCATTAAGCATCCCAATGCTGAACCCCTTGGAAAAAGTACAAAAAAAAAAAGAAACCAAACCCACTGACATCAAGTCAACGCCAACACAGTGACCCGAGAGGACAGGGTAGAGCAGCCCCTGAGTTACCAAGACAGTCACTCTTTACAGGGGTACAAAGCCCTGTCACTCTACCATGGGGTGGCTAGTGATTTCGAACTCCTGACCTTGTGGTTGGCAGCCCAGTGCATGACCACTACACCACCAGGCCTTCTCTGGAAAAAGTACAGCACACACGTAATGCATACTTGATAAGTCTATGACAGACTGAATGAATGAATGGGGGAAAAAAGCAATGGCCCAGACTGAAGATCAGTGCCTGGAGCCAGAGGCTCCCTGGTTCCTGTCAGTGCAGACCCCCTGAGTGGGTGCTGCGGTTGGGAGGGGACCAGCCTCTATCTGCAACAAGCAGAGCCCCAGGCAGCCCAGCTGAGTGGACAGGCCCTGGTCAGGGGGGGCTGGGGAGGTCTCACCTGGATGGAGAAGCTCTGCTCCTCGGGTTCATGGTGCCCCACCAGAGTGTAGCTGCCCTTGCCAGAGAGGTAGTAGTAGAGGCCGTCGAATGTCTCCAGGTGGTGCTGCCCCCACGCCCGGCAGATGCTGTCCCGCTCAGGGCCAGTGTTGTACACTGAGCCAGGGAAAAGACAGCCTCTGGGTAGCCATAGTGACACCCAGCCACTGGTGAGGCGGGGTGCCCCCGTCCCACCTAGCCCAAGACTCGTCGGTCTCAGGCCCACTGGGCTCCCTGCACTCACACCCCTTCCCGGGGCTGGGGTGGAGCCCAAACGCACCCATCTGGCAGCGCAGTCCAGTGGCATTGAAGCGTCTGCAGTCACAGAAGGCTGGGTGCACACACTCGCCCCCATTGAAGCAGGAGAACAGGTCTGCAAGGAAGACATAGAAGGCCCCTCCCCTTGGAGCCAAGGTGGACAGGCCCAGTAACACACCACCCACCTCAGGTCCCAGCCCCTCCATTGCAGGCACCCTCCGCAGTTAGCCTCAGGAAGGGCAGCTCAGACCACAGCGCTGGCCCCTCCCTGGCAGGAACACAGGCCTCCCGGCATGCCAGGCAACCCTCAGGTCAGCCTGTCAGGGGCTGTCTCCCCCAGGCCTCCAGCTCCCTAAGTTGAGTTTCTGGCCCACAGGTAAGGCAGGCAGAACGAAGGCAATGGAGCAGGTGGGCTGCCCAGAGCTCTTCCTCACTACTCCAGAGGAAGGTGTAAACCAGGCCCTGGCAGAGAGGCACATGGCAGAGAAAGGACACAGGAAGAGAAGACAGAGACAAGCAGAGTGTGGTGAGAAAGAGGGCCGTGGAGGGCCAGAGAGGCCGTGGACCCAGGATAGGGCGG